CTCTCCGCGAGGGATGGATGCCCCTTCTTCAGAATTAACATTTTCCTAGAAAGATAGCTTTTCTTCCAACCTTCTTTCCAAGAAAAGTCATGCATAACGGAAAGTGTGCCGCGGCTTTCAGGCAACAACTCCAACCATCCCCGCCCCCAACATTCTCTAACACTCTCTCTCTCTCTCTGTGTGTGTGTGTGTGTGTGTGTCACACACACACACACACACACAAACACACACACACACACACACACACACACACACACACACCCTCGGTTTCTCTTCCCAGTCTGTGCACGTGTGGGGGTGGAAAGCACAAAACGAAGACAGAGGATTGGCTTTATGTCATCTTTAGCTTTAGTCGAATTGACAAAACACGCAGTTGTGAAAGGAAAAACTGCAAGAGTGGTCGAGAATAGAACAGCTTAATTTTTTTTTTTCGCTTTCGTTTTTTTGAAGGGTGACAGCCTTGAGGTATCATCGTCGAACGGACCGGTCCCAGGTAATTGAGAGTTACCTTACTCATCTGATTCAATAAGGATTCTATCTCAGGTCTGAGGTATCGTCGTCGAACCGACCGATCCCAAGTAATTGAGAGTTACCTTACTCGTCTGATTCAATCAGGACTGGATCTTAGGTCTGCTGTTGGGAGGAACTAGTGTGTAGCCGCAGGGATCTGGCGCCAGGTTCAGGGTGAAGAGGTTCCCCCCTCTCTCCAATAGCCTGCTCAGTCAATCCCCTGGATCCCAGGGTAATCAATGCTGGCAGGAACCTCACACAATCCTGTTTTGATATACTCCAAATTCAGTCTGTATATGGGACGCTGGACCCGTTTTCCAGCAGGTGATGCTCCCCACCAATAGATGGAGCCTCTCCCCAGGTGCTAGTGGTGTCTGCTCTTACCAGCACCACTAACACTGGCGGGGGGGKTTAAAAAAAAAAAAAAAAAAAAAAAAAAAAAAAAAAAAAAAAAGAAGGTCTGCTGTTTCTCAACAGTTCTTGGGATTGGTACGAACTTCACGTCAGACGAAGACAAACACAGTTAAAACAAAACCAACTGTTTTTTTTTTTGTATCGGGAGTTGAAACGAAGTTTTTTTTTTTTTTTTTTTTCCCTTGGGAAAAATGAAACGAACTCAGAAGATGGGATGCGATGTAGAGCTTTCTTCTTCTTTTGTTTTTTTTTTTCAATGCTGTATAGAGACTTGATCGTGGTGGAGGAGGAGGAGGAGGAGGAGGAAAGGAATGATCGTGCAAAGCGAAAAGGGGCGAGAAAGACTCGCAACTCTATTTAAAAAAAAAAAAATTAAAAAAAATAATAATAATAACGCAACTCATTCTTGGGGGAAAAAAAGAGGGTCCACTGTTATTAAAAAAAAAGAAAAAAAAAGGCGCCGCTCCATTCCCGATCTATGCGTGTCATCCTTAAAGAGGGGATGCACAAGTCTACTTCACTCTCCGGGGTCGCTCATCCTATTAGGCAGTGAGGGAAAACTTAAAAGCCATCGCTGGCTATGGTGATCTCGGTGGTGTAATGATCTTCTTCGTCTTGAGAGCGTTTCTTCTTCTGAGCCTAGTGTAGGCGGATGGGTATGGAAATTTTATCGAAGCGTCCACGAAAGACAGTCTTTGACCTCTGTTTATCACTATTCTTCTTCCTTGGAATATGCGCTTTTCTACTTACAGCTGTACATGCGGAAGTGGAATGCCTATCTGTGGTGACTGCATGTCCGCGAGAAGCATACGAGGAGCAGTCTATGGCCACTGTTTTCACTATTCTTCTTCTTCCTTGGAGATCTATTTCCAGATTTCTTTCACATATGTTGCCGGACACGCTTGGCGATGTCTCTCGGATATGTGATTCATGAAGAGTCAGGCTCACCGTTGACTTCCCCTTGCTTTATACGACATACTTTGGGCAGGGGCCATGCTAATCTTCTCTGTACCCTTCCAATTTCTCGATTTACGCGTGTCATCCTTCTGCAGGCGCCATGCTAATTTTGTTTCTCTGTATCATTCCAATTTTAACGGATCTCCCGAAGGACCCTTCTTTTTCTTTTTCTTTTTTTTCCTTTTTTTTTTTTTTTTTTTTTTTGTATTCGTTGCATTTTTTCACGGATGCCTAGAAGGAAAAGGTGCGTCACGAGGGGGGGAGGGAAGGTGCGTCAAGGAGCTTATGTGTGGAAGTGGAGGAAGTGCATCTCCAATCCGAGAATCGAACATACAACCAACGGCTTGTCAGGCAAACACCTAACCAATAAATAGGCTAAGTGGACAGGGGCATACCGGGTGGAAAGCGCAAGAAGAAAAAAAGAGAAAAAAAAAAAAAAGAAAGCGCAAGACAAAATGGGAGACGTGAAGGTCATCAAGGGTGTATGAGTTATATACAGAGACGCTGGAGCCGGTTTCCAGCAGGTGCAGCTCCCCACCAAATAGATCGGTGGTGCAGCCAGAAGCCAGACGACTACTAGGAGGGGGGCGCTCTTATCACTATTCCTGTTTTTTTTTAAAAAAGGGAAGAAAAAAGAAAGGCGGGGGCTCCCCACCAATAGATTGGAGCAGCCAGAAGCGAGACTACGAGGAGGGGGCGCTCTTATCACTCTTTTATTTTTTATTTTTTCTTAATCACTCTTCCTAGTAGCATGCGACTGATTTAAAAAAAAAAAAAAGAGAGAAAAAAAAAAAGGAGGGGGCTCCCCAGCAATAGATTGGAGCAGCCAGAAGTGAGACTACTAGGAGGGGGCGCTCTTATCAATCTTCCTACCGGTAGTTTTCTGCGACCGCCGACTGGTGAAAAACAAAAACAAAAAAAGGAGGGGGTGGAGAAAAACACAGGCTAACCTCCACCATCACCTTCTCAGACGTGGACTTCCCATCATGTATCTAACCGCAATTTACAGCCTAATTCTGTCAAGAGTGTCAGTGCGCCCTTCACTACGTATACTTAACAAAATATGTCGCCTTTTGTCTAGCTTTCTGCCAATTACAAGAAGAAAAAAAAAAAAATGTACAGCCTAATTCTGCCAAGAGTGTCAGTTCGCCCTTCACTACGTATACTTAATATGTCGCCTTTTGTCTAGCTTTCTGCCAATTACAAAAAAAAAAAGCAAAAATGTACAGCCTAATTCTGTCAAGAGTGTCAGTGTGCCCTTCACTACGTATGCTTAACAAAATGTGTCGCCTTTTTTCCTAGTTTTCTGCCAACAAAAAAAATAAAAATAAAAAATGATATTTGTGCCAATTTTCTGGCCACTTAGCAAAGAAGGTGCGTTATTCCGCTTTTTTTCTTTTTTTTTTCTTTTTAAGACTAATTCGTGTATGTTATTCCGCTTCGATCCGTAGATCAACTAGGATTGCCAAAAAAAAAAAAAAACGTGCCTCACGTGCTCTTGGGAAAAGCCCGAGACGGATCCATCACCGTAGATCATTTCAGATCAACGGGCACGGCAGGGCGTAGCACCTTAAAAAAGAGAAAAAAAAAAAAAAAAAAAAAAAAAAAACAGTTCAGCACTTCGCCGTGCCTTGTACAATCTTTCTCAGCTTATTGTTATTAGTCGAAAGGGTAAAGAAAAAGAGAAAGGGGGAAAAAAAAAAAACTCCCTCCACCTGCCACTTCCCGTCGTTTCCCCAGTCCGGCCCCCATCAAAGACAAGGGGCCTCGCGCCAGTACTTACCACATGCACGAAGAACCAAAAAATATGGCGTTGTATCTTCCCATGTAGTAGCGGAAGATTCATTCTTATTTTGAACATTTGGTGAGTAGTGGACCGAAGACCAAGGTATGCACCACAAAAAAAAAAAAAAAAAAAAAAGGCAACGTATGCACAAACAACCAAAAGAAAAGACAGCTCGAAAAAAAGAAAAAGAAAAAAGAGAGAGCTCGATCATCTCAGGCTCACTCTCGCCTGGCCCCCTCCCCCCGCACGCGTGGCCCGCACGCACACACACACACACACACACACACACACACATACACACACACACACACACACACACACACAC